TGTCTCCGAGGGCAGCGGTTTCCACACACGGTTCGGGGGACTCCACCTGCGATCGGACTACAAGGGTCACGGATGCTCCTCCAAAGGTCCGGTGCTTTCCCTTAGACCCAGCACCCCCCAACTCAATTCCCGCACTCACCCCGCCCCCGGTTCGTTGGACCCCCGTATTCCCGACAAGTCCCTGCCCATGCGGGCCGGGAATCGGGACCCTCTCCTCACCAGGGTCTCCACTTGGAGGGTCCGGACTGGACTTTCGGTTTCAGACCCAGCCTCTGCCCGACACAGCGCACCACTGAGCAGCAGGAGCAGCAGGTGGAGCGGCAGGAGTGAGGGGCGCGGGGTCATGACTGGACGGGACCGGGCACCGACACCAGGACAGCTGCTCCTGCGGTGGCGACTAGGAGAGCGTTCCCTCGGCGCCCAGGCCTGACTGGACGGGACGGGGCGGGTCGCTAGCTTCTAGCTCCTCCTTCCGCAGCCCTTCCTCCACCTCGTCCCCACCTCCTCGTGGGAGGAGGCCGCGGGAGCCCTCCCTACCCGCTGAGATCGGAGGTCGCCGCAGATTCTGACGAGTCTGTCGGTTAGCCGTTCTGTCCCACAGGAGGGCTTGACCACGTAATAGCCATTTACTGTGTGCACATCAGTTTCTAGCCCTCAAAACTACCTTGAGAGGTAGGTGCAGCTGTTCCCATTTTACAGCTAAGGAACTAAGTGTGCAAGCAGCTTGTCCAAGGTCATCAAGCTGGGTGGCCATAGAGACAGGATTCAAATTCAGCTCTGCCCAAGCCCAGAATACTCCTCTAAAATGCGTCCCTCCACACCACCCTGGCAGTGTCAGGCCCCCTGCGGCCGGCAGTTGTCAAAGCCGCCTCCCTCCCACCTGGCTTCCTGCCGTTTGAATTTCTGGAAGTTTAGCTCCAGAAGAAGGCCGACAGCTGTCCTAGCCTCAGCCCTTGGAAAGTGAACTGAAAAGTACAAGAAGCTGTTTTCCTATAAGAAGGTTTGCGGGAGGGGGGCGGGCACTGCTGGCCTTTTCCATTTTCTTTCTGCTTTCATTAACCACCTTTGCAGAAGGACAGCACATCCAACCCCTTCAGGTTTGTGAAGGGCGTCAACTTACTTCAGGTGCTCCTGCCAGTCCTCTTTTGCATGATTTAAGCTCTCAATGGCCATCCCTCAGGTTTAGGCACCCAGATTCTGCTCACTCAACAGCACTCAGCAAATTCAGTCACGAATCTAGGGCTGCTCGTGGCCTGTGGTCCTTAGCATGTCTCTGGCATCAGAGCTCTGACTGCCCTCACAAATCTCCAGACATAACTGCCTACTGGATGTCTCCACTGGGATGTTTGGCCAGCACCAGAAACTCAACAAACCCAACATCCTCCTCCTGCTTCCAACCCAGCTGCTGCAGCCAGGGCTTCCCTCCCAGTCTCCTCTTTCTGATGCGTATCTGTTGTTAGCATCTTTGTTCTTTCATATCTTATATCTAACCCATCTCCTTTGGATTCTTCTTCCACAGCATCTCCTGCTCTGACTATATATTCTCACGGAGACCATACATTTTAAACCCTGCCATTCTTTTTAGGATTAAAAAAAAAAAGTGGGCACAGTGGTGTGTGCCTGTATTCCCAACTGTTCGTGAGGCTGAAGCAGGATGATCACACATTCAAGCTCAGCCTGGGCAATTTAGTGACTTAGCAAGACCTTAACTCAAAATAAAAATTTAAAAGGGCTGTGAAGCCAGGTGTGGTGGGGCATGCGTGTAATCTTAGCACGTGGGAGGATGAGGCAGGAGGATCACTGAGAGTTCAAGAACAGCCTGGGCTACATAGTGAGTTTAAGGCCAGCCTGAGTTACAGAGTGAAACCTAGTCTCAAAAAAAAAAAAAAAAAGGCTATGGCGAGGTGTGGTGGGCACACCTATAATCCCAACACACAGGTGAAGGGAGGAGGTTCACCGTGATTTCAAGGCCAGGCAGGGCTACATAGTGTGTTCAAAACCAGCCTTAACTACATGGCAAGACCTTGTCTCAAAAATCCAATCAATACAAATAAAGGGCTAGGCATGTAGTTTAATAGTAGAACACTCCAGGATTCAATCCCTAGTGCCACCAAAAAAAAAAAAAAAAAAAAAAAAAGGCAATCTAAATTCTGGCCAATCAGATGCAAACAGAGGTGCTCTAAGTATTGCCTTAAATTTCCAAGAAGCCTCCCTGAAGGGAGCTAAGAAAGGTCTCATTATGTGTTCATCTCTTCTGCCCGAATCATCTCCCTTCATTCTGTTACCTGCAATGTGGATTAGATGAATTATGCTCTAGTCTAATAAGACCATGAGGACGGAAGCTATCTGTGTTCCACAAGGGTGAATTGAAAAGATGGAAGCCTGAGCCTCAGAAAACTGGACTCAGACAACTGGAGAGCCCCTGGACTGCCTACCATCGAGTACCTGTGTTTGGTCTGGGGCTAGAACCCAGGGCCAGACATGTGTGCACCAGTGAACCACATCCTCCACCCATCAGGAACTTTCTGTTTGAGACATGATCTTGCTGTGTAGTCTGGGCTGGCCTCGAACTCCCAATTCTGCCTCAGCGCTGACAGTGTTGGAATTACAGGTGCGCAACCCTGCACCCAGCTCCTAGCAGCCACTTGTGTGTTGGACGGGTATGGGGATTGAACTCAGGCCTTCACACTGAGCTTCATTCACAGCCCTTTTTATTCTTTGAGACAGACTCACTAAATCGCTGTACTGTCCAGCCTAGGCTGAAACTTGAAATCTCCCTGCCTTAGTATCCCAAGTAGCAAACAGGGATTACAAGTGTGCACCACTGCATGGTGCACTGGGCATCTCTGAAGTGAGGTAGAAATGAACTATCAGTATTTGGGATGATGAGGCAGGAAGACTGTGAGTCCAAGACTAACCAGGGCTATATACATAGCAAGACTCTGTTTTCAGGAAAAATATAGAAAAATAAACTTCTACACTTTAGACAACTCTGTGCAGTGCCTCAATCCAGTCGTCACATCACCTGTCCACTAAAAGCCTGCCATGGCTCAACATGGCCCAATAAAATTCTGACTCCTCAATATGCCTATTAAAACTTTGTCATCAGCCCTAATCCACTTTTCTGAACTGATCTTTTATCCTATTAAGCTGAAAGACTTTTCAAGCCGGTTGTGGTGGCACACACCTGTAATCCCAGCACACAGAAGGCTGAGGCAGGAGTACTGCTGTGAGTTCGAGACCAGCCTGGGCTATACAGTGAGTTCTAGGTCAGTCTCAACTACAGTGAGACCCTGTCTCAAAAAAACAAAACAAAACAAAGCTGAAAGCCTTTTAGAAAGGAACCTCATGTTTTTCATTTCTGTAACCTCACCGCTTATAATGGACACGTAAATGCAGGTCGTGTGTATGAATTAAACCCAGTCCTCCTGCTCCCTGCCTGCAGTCTGGCATCAGATGAACCTGCATCACACTTCCCTCTCTGTGCCCTTGCTCAAGCTCTGCCCTTCACCTGTCATCTATCTCCTCTGTGAGGTCCTGATTCTTCCAACAGTGGCTTCCCCAAATTCTGAACTCCAGGCGCATGCTCAGGGACATTAGGAGGTGAACCTCCTAATGCCTCACTCCTTGCATCTCCCTCAAAGAGCCAGATCACTGATGGCAAGGACAAGACTGTGATCCTGCCTGGAGCCCCCTAGGAAGATAGACAAAATTTATTTTGTATAAACTACACTATGAAATGAGAAACCATTAAAGAGGAAGATCAGTGAGGCATGCTGGTGCACACCTGTAACCTCAGCACTCTGGGAGGCTGAGGCAGAAGGGCTGCAAGTTCTAGCCTGCTGGGCAACTTAGTAAGACCCTGCCTCAAAAAAAAGTATGTAGGGTGACATATAGCTCAGGATGAAAGGCCTAGGTTCAATCCCTAGTTCTAGAAGAAAAAAGATAAATGTGCTAACTAGAAGATCTCAAGACAAATGTATGTAGCCTTAAGTGAAAAAGCAAGTTAGAATATACATGTGATGTGAGTCCACATGTATTTTACCCTTCCCAAACATGTGTACATTCATACACTTAGTGTCTCAAGAGCTTTTCTTATTCCCCAATAAATTTTCCTTTTTTTTTTTTTTTTTCCAGGGATAGAACTTGGGTCCTTGTGCTTGCAAGGCAGGCAATGGAACCACTGATCTAAATAAATCCCCAGCCCAAATTTTCCTACTCTTAATCTCCGTTCCTTAGAATTCATTCTTCAACTTTGAGGAACACAAACTCAGCATATCTGACATCTAAGCAGGTTGGGAGTTAATTTATTTCTCCTGTATCATTCCTATATAATTTGGAGTTTCCACTGAGACAACTGGAAGGTGTTTGCTTTTGTTTCATAATTTTAACTCCCAAAAATTTTTTTTTTTTTTTTTTTTTTTTTTTTTGTACCAGGGATAGAACTTGGGTCCTTGTGCTTGCAAGGCAGGCAATGGAACCACTGATCTAAATAAATCCCCAGCCCAAATTTTCCTACTCTTAATCTCCGTTCCTTAGAATTCATTCTTCAACTTTGAGGAACACAAACTCAGCATATCTGACATCTAAGCAGGTTGGGAGTTAATTTATTTCTCCTGTATCATTCCTATATAATTTGGAGTTTCCACTGAGACAACTGGAAGGTGTTTGCTTTTGTTTCATAATTTTAGATTGGGACTCGCTTAGGTAATCAAAATTGTCAAACTCTGAATCAGTATTACCTAAGCCATTATACTTGTAAACTTATTAGTTGATTGCAGTCTTTACCCACATTATATACCCACCCCTTATGACTCTGCTCTATAAATTTCCTTTGAGAAGTAGGCTCATTGGCAACCCATGTGGGACCCGTCCAGTCTCAGGAACTATTCTTATTGGCCAATAAATTTTCCTCTTCTTAAAAACAAAAACAAAAACAAACTAGAAGCTGGGTATGGTACCAGGGATGGAATTTGGTACCTTGTGCTTGTGAGGCAGGTGGCGGAACCACTGAGCTAAATCCCCAGCCCTGGTTTTTGTTTTTTAACAAGTAAGAAATGAGGTAAAGGCAGAGGGCCAGATGTTTGGAAAAGAAAGAATCTCCAAGTGTGGTGGTGCATACCTGTAATCTCAGCACTTGGGAGGCTGAGGCAGGAGCATCACTGTGAGTTAAGAGACCAGCGTGGGTGGGCTACATAGTGAGTTCCAGGTCAGTCTCAACTACACAGTGAGACCCTGTCTCCAAAAGAAAAACAAAAAACAAAAAAACAAACAAAACAAAAAAGAATAGAGCAGGTTTGCAGAAGCGAGCGACCGGCTAAAAGAGGTGAGAAGAGGGAATTAAGGGCACTGGCTGCCGAGAACATTGAATGTCAGCCTAAGACTGTGGGAACATTGTGAGAGTTTGAGCAAAGGGTGACCATGCAGACTACACTGACACATCAGCTGACTGCAGAGGTGTCATGGATAGAAGGCTACTCTGTCTTGTCCTGGTTTGAAGCTGTTTGGGAATCTGAACAGGAAGTGGGCATGGGTGGGGTGGGCAAGGACAAAACTATTTCAGACATTATCCACTGCAGAGCACACACAGGAGGGCCCAGGGAAGGAGCTGTTTCCTTGGATTGGGTTAAGAACCTAGAAGAGAAAGGTGAGATGTTTCTGGGAAAGATAGGGGACCTGGCCCAAATCTGGCTGGAGCTACGAGGTATCAGAGAACTTCTGATTTCAGAAGGGTCTCTGAGGGTAACACAAACTCTACCATAGCCCTTTAGCTCCCAAGACTCACAAGGCACACACCATACCCAGCTTGGCCAACACATTCACCCACCCACTCATTCATCAGGCCCGTGTGCCCATTTGCTACAGGATAGTAAGTAGGGCAGTTTTGTTTTGTCCCCTTGGTGGTGCAGGCTGAATGTGTGCTGTGTGGTGAGTGCATACTCACACTGATCTACAGCCCCAGCACCTTTTAGGCTTATGTATTCATTTACCTAGGTATGAAGCAGCTACCCTTCTCCCCTACTTTTCCCCCAAGTCTGCTCTAACCTCTAAGGAGGTATCCTGTTGATGAGGTGGCAAAGGCAAAAGCATACCTCCTCTCTCCCCTATCTACAACTTAAAGCCAAGAAAATGACAATCTTCACTATATTCCCAATTTGGAAGTAATCTCTGTGGCTAAGCCACAAGCTAAGCCTTCTAACCCTTACGAGTCCCTTGTACATACTGACTCTACTAGGATGACTCACAGGAGATCCATATGGAGCTCTCATAGGAACTCTACAGGATGGCTCTCAACATGCTGGGGCAGAGGGGTGGAAGTGGAAGGTGGGCAATGGGGTTGCTAGGAAACCGGCTGGATTTGACTGCCAGTCACCAGCATACCTGGTTTGTGAGGAAGGGTGCCAGACGGAAGGATGCACAACCAGCACGTTTTGCCTTCAGTGTTGTCCTCTCAACCTTACCAGCTCTGAAGTCACAATGGCTCCTAAACGAGGGCGCGGGTACTCTTCTGCAGCTCATGATCCAAATGACACACCTCATGTTTTGACCCCATTTCCTCACTTCCAGACTTGTGACCACTGTCTTTAGTGACTTTACTCATCCTCTACCATATTCAAGGCTTACATTTCCTCTGTCCTAACTCACTTTACCCCTTGAAAGAATGCTGGTGATTCTTACCTATATCAGCAACCAAGATCAGGAAACCTAACTGGAAAGAAAAACCTGCAGGAAAAGAAAGGCTACTACCTACGTTCAGCAGCAGCAGCAGCAGCAGCAGCAGCAGCAGCAGCAGCAGCAGCAGCAGCAGCAGCAAAGGACAGGATGCTTTCTTTCGGCCAGAACTGCCATCTTCCAGTAATTTGCCAAAATGACAAACGCAAAGGGAAAGAGGAGAGGAACCCAGCATTTATTCGCTAGGCTTTTTAGAAAACATGGGGTTGCTCCTTTGACCACATACATGCAAATCTACAAAAGGGTGATGCTGTAGACATCAAGGGAATGGGTACTGTTCAAAAAGGAAAGCTATTTTTAATGTTCATACAGAGATTTCTTCAGCTGAAATACAGAATAGTTTCTTTGGTGTGAAAAACTATAATAGTACACAGGATCCTAATGAGATAATTAATAATATGAAATAGGAAGTAAAGGGCTAAAGGTGTAGGGAAAGTGGGAAGGGTGGGGGAAAGGTAATGAGAGAGAGGAAAAAAATATGAGAAACTGAAAAAATGGAAATAAAGTGTTTGTAAATGGGGAGGGAGGAGGGGGTGAAGGGAGGGCAGGGACAAGGGGAAAAAATGAGAATCAAGACCTGCCATGTAAAGGTACAGGATCCCAATAATGAATGTAACTGTATTGTATACCTAGATTGTACCAATAAACTCAATAAAAAGAAAAAAAAAAGGAAAGCTACAGGAATGTTACCATGGCAAAGCTGGAACAGTGCAGTATTATTCACCACGCTGTTGGCATTGTTGTAAACAAGCAGAGGATTCATGTGTGTATGGAGAATGTTAACACTCAGTGTCAAGATAGCTTCCTGAAACCCGTCAAGGAAAATAATCAGAAAGAGAAGCCAAAGAGAAAGGGACCTGGTTCACCTGCGTGCCAGCCTGCCCTGCCCAAAGCAGCACACTGAGAGCAGGTGGGAAGGAGCCTGATTTTTGGGAACCTCTGCCCTATGAAATCATGGCCTCAGCTGGGATGTCGCTGTGCCACTCAGAACCTAAATAGTGGCTAAGTGTTCTTGGCCCTTCTTAAAGATTAAAAATTGTCCTGTATTGTAAGGATGGTTTTTCTTAACTGAAGAAAGTGTGTGGTGCCTTTACTTCAGAGAAACAAATATTCGGAGGAGATTCTACCTAGGCTACCCGCAGTGGATTCTAGATTGTACCTAGTTAGCTGCGTCAGGTGTTTACTCTTGAGTGGTTTTTTTGCTGAAAGGTGTGAGGTACTGTGCAGGTGTATATCCAAATGGTCAAATATTTATGAAATATTTACACAAAGCACCCTACTGTGAGTTATGTTCTAGTTCTGAATTGCTTTGACCATTCATGAAACACTTGGAAAACAGTACCATAAAGGCATTTGTCTCTGTTTACTGTTAAAGATATCCTCTACAGTTACTCCCCAACTCTCACTACCCAACATGGTACAAACACTATAGATACCCAAAAGATTTCAGAGCAGCCCAAAAATGATCCCCTGACCCCTAGTACACTGCATTGATCCATGTTTGACATAGATCTAAAAAACAGAGAAAGGACTAAATAATCGCCACCTTTCTGCTCTAACCAATCTAAGCACTGAATAGGCAGTGGTGAGTGCAGAGCTTTCAGGCTTTGTGACTCAGATCTGAAGCTCCTACACACACTCCCGTTACCGTCCCACACTCTGGAATGAAGGGGATAGCTTCAGCCTTCATCCTACTCAGGCCAATCCAAGCCCTTCCCCTGGTTTTTCCAGGCTCTTTTCAGATGCTTCCTTGCCCAGATTTTCCTAAAAATCTGGGTCCTTTGTCGAGGGAAGACAGATGAGCTGTCCATGTTCTGGAAGGTGGGGCTGCTGCCACCAGAGGGCTCCCCTCTACCTCCTTCCTGGCATCCTACATTGAGTACTATGGGGCAGAAAGGAGTAAGGCAACTTCTCCAAGTTAATCACGGCTCAAAAGACCCTTTCTGTCCTGCCATTCAGCTAATGCACTCACTGCATTATCACAGTCTTATAAGGCGTTATGGATCTAGAAGTTATTTATTTATTAACATACAAATAAAGCACTTGAGAAAGGTGGTCCCAGCTTTATAGCAACCTGTGACCAAGGACCCTGGAGCAGCAAAGTCTCAGTTGATTTTGAAAGTGAAGGTGGGTACTGCTTGAAGTTACAAGGATGTTAAGACACACGGGCGGAATAATGTGAGGACTACAAAAGGTAGAAACACTGGTCTTCGAGGGTTATAGCTTATGAGTAACAAGAGACTAAACAGGAAAACTGGTGGAGAAGGCAGCAAAGGGTAACTGAGTACTTTACAACTCTGTAAATACTTTACACACTGGTACTTGGACTCTCAAAGTTTTTCTTTTTTTGAATAGTACTGGGGACTGAACCCATGGCCTTCAATGAGATATAGCCTGAGTCCCATCTCCATACCCCTGCTTTTTTTTTTTCTTAATCTTGAGACAGAGCCTTGTTAAATTGTCCAGGTTGGGTTCTAACTTGCAATCCTCCTGCCTCAACTTTCCAGAGTGCTGGGATTACAGGTATGTACCAGCTTCACAACTTACTAAATGCCTAAATCCTGTCTTTTTCCCACCTCAAAGGTTAAGAAAGTAGTAGGAGTGGGGGAGGCCTGCCACATCACCTAGCCTAAGGGTAACACCATCTTTTCTTCACCTAGAACTAAACATCAGCAGCAAGAGAGGAACAGAGCAGTGGTGAGAATGGGATGGGAGAAAGGGAACTTTCTGGACCAGGTCTGTTCCCAGGCTATGTGTGCAGTCTCTGGATGAGGGTTAGCATCCTGATAATGGGAGCCACGTGATGGAGTTAGAGGTGAAGCAGGGCCATCGCTAGTATGAAGGATCAAGTTCACTTACCCCTCATGCTCCTTCACAGACAAAGTCCAACCTGGATGGGTGGGAAGGCTCTGATCTACGAATGAGTCTGAACTAGAAGCATCTGATGTGCGGGCTGGGGAGATCTGAGAGTGGGGGTACTACAGGGCCCTCAGATCTACAATGGGTGATAAATATGGCTACGCTCAGGGTTAAAAGCTCTAGAGCTAGGGGGGCAAATTCACACAGCCTCATACTCTGGTGCCCGACTCTTTTTAACTTCCCTCTGAGGTATGATGGGAAATACGCAATGCGGAGATGGGCCTAAATTCCTCCATAACCTCACTCTCCACCCACCAAATGCCCCTCTGCTGAGGAGCAGAAGTGTAGAGAAGGGGACTAGGAACAGAACTACCTGCGCCACTGCCCCACTGCCCCATAGCTTCTGCACAGCAAAGACAAAGGTCTGCTCCAAAGCTGCATAAAACAAGTTTAATTTCCAACCAGGGTCACAGTCATTGCGTTATCCCACATTCGGAGCAAGGATAGAGAAGGTGAGTTATTAAACATGTACAGTCTACATTCCAGAGGAGGAAAAAAAGAGAAAAACCAGTTTAGAACTGCAGTTACCACTACAAACACCACAAACTTTGGAGGGAGGGGGAGGGGCAGTTCCCAGGAAGAAAAAAGCTGAAACGGGGAAAGCATAAAAGTAAACCCACCTGAGGCGAGCAGGAGAGGTAATGGGCAGAAATGGAATAAAACACTCAATTCCAAAAGAGCTATTAGGTAAACAGGAATGTATAAAGGACCACCCCTTCCCAAGGGTCTGCAGCCAAGGATGCAAACAAGATCGCTTGCTGCCCCCTTCTGGAAAAACCTGGAGCAGCAGGATGGTAACCTCCAGCGCTGCTTAACACCCTCAGCCCAGATTCGGCTCTGGAGGACAAGAAAGATAGAGGTGAGGTCTGGAATGAGGAAACCTATCTAAAACTGGCATCTAACTAGGAAGGGTCAGAGAAGGAGTGAGGCAGGAGAAGAGGCACAGTCCTCACCAACCAAAAGATACAGAATGGGGAATCATAAATAGGGCGGGGGAGGGGCACAGACAAACAAGCAATAGCAGTGAATAAACTTAGAAGGCAAGGAAAGAGTTCAGAGAAAGAAAGGTAACCGGGAGAGGACAGCACAACATTAGAAAGAGCAAAGAAAAAGTACGGAGGGAAGGTTCTGTGGGGTCAGAAGAGTGAACCCATTTTAAAATGAAACAACTTCTCCAGCACTCTCATACATACACATCAAATGCAAGCACGCACGTGCATAAACACACACACACACACACACAGGCCTAGGGAGCAAGAAACCTGCATTCACTGCGTCTTGGGTAAGTAACACATCACCAAGTAACTGGCACTGAGGGAGTCACCCCTGGAACTTCTCACAGTTCAGTCTGAGTGGGACAGGACAGGAAGTCTGGCCCCATGCTGTGGGGCTTGGGACATCCTTTCTGGGAAAGGGTCCCTCAGCCATGCTGTGGGGTCCCTGGCCCCTGATATTAGCAAAAAAGTATGGGCAGCTGTCTTGGAGCTCAGGGCGCAGCCAGCACACACAGGAGCCCACAGAACAGCCACGGCTTCACAGAAACCGCAGAAATCAGGACCCACGCCAGGATTTCAGGAACAAGCGCCCTCTGTAGACAGGGACACAAGTAGCAGCAGCTTTTGAACAACTACATAATAATGGAAGGAGGGCCCTGAAGACCACTGCATCTCACCAGCACCAACAACCACTTAGGATCCACCTTCCTCCACTCCAACCTCCATGTATGGGAAGTATGTGAGGAAGATGGGAAAGCTGTTGGAATGGAGGGAACAGCAAGGATGGTCTGAGGGCTTCAAAACAACAAGAAACCTTCAGCCTTTAGCTCATCCCAGACTAGGAAAAGATAGAAAATTGGACAACAGAAGGGTTGATGTTGAGGCCTGCTATCTTAACCCCAATGTTGAAGCTTCTTCTACCACTCAGCCCTGATAGGCCAGCAGGGCTGCTAATGTGAGAAGACTAACAAAAGTACAAAGAAACTACCCAGCCCCCAAGATCAAAGGGGAGGACACAGGAAGGGAGGAATAAAACTGACCCAGGCCTCACCTTCTCCTAGTAACAAGAGAATGGAGCAGAAAACCCAAGGCCTCCCCCATGGCACCAAAACCCACCTGGGGGTCCCGGGTCTCAAACACACATGGGTCTTGCTATCCCCAACTCCCCCTCAAGCTCCAGAGAACAGATCTAAGGGTGGTGGGGGAGGGTCTGTTAAATGCTCTGGGCTCATAAGTGTGCGTGGGTTCCTCTTCCTTCCCACTAACAAGGCAGAGCAGAATGGCATCTCCTTGGGAACAGTCATCTAGAGAGAAATGCCAGTCCCTGCCCTGAGAAAGGTAGAGAGAAAGGGGTATAAGGAAGATGGTGGCAGAGAATCCATCATCTGTCCTGCGATCCAGCAACACCCACTTGCAGACAGAAAAAGAGAGGGCAGTCCTGCCCGCCCAAAACCCTCTCACCTGCTTCCCTTTACCTCACCAGCAAGGATGGAGCAGGGATGAGCTCCGGTGGGCAGTGTCCTGGCTGCAAGCCCTGAGCTGCACTCCACCCCCTCCCTATTCCCCCTGGCTCCCACATATATATCTCTCTATACATATATATACAGGCGCACACGTGCACACACACAGAGAGGCCCGTGTACTTTCCATGTACAACAGGAGGGTGACAAAAAAAGGAAGACAGGAAATAGGAGAGGGGACTGTGGCAGACTCAGATGCCAAGAGCCCAACAACCAGCGCCAATGAAGCAAACGGAGATATCCCACCCCACCTCCCAAAACCCAGAGGGTGAGAGAAAGAGAGGGGCTACCCCATGATACCATAACAACCTTATTTTTGTTTTAAATCCAGTAAATTGGAATGACTCATCATCAAGACAGCAATTGAGGACTGGTCATGTCGATGGAAAGGGGAGAGAAGGGGAGGCAGGGGAGGCAAGGCTCTTGCTGGGCATGCGGACATGATACCCAAGGCCCTGGCCACACTTGCAATGGAGAGGGGTAGGGCTGGGGCAGGGAGACAATGGGTATGTCAGGGATGGGTGGGGCGGTTGGATAGGGCACTCTGGCTCTCTCTCACTTCTTGTTTTTGAGCTGATTGGCCAGCCAGTCCAGGCCTTCATACAGCCCATCCCCACTGGTGGCACAGGTGGCCTGAATGTACCAGTTGCGATGACGCAGGGAATGCAGGCCCAGCTTGTCTGTGATCTCAGCAGCATTCATAGCATTCGGCAGATCCTGGAGTGTGAGGGAGACAAACACAAAGGAGCCTGAAGAGCTTCCAAAGACTTGTAGAGCACCTATCGCCCAAAGATGTGTTCTAGCACTTTTCCCTCCTCCTCCATTTTAGGAAACCCAGAACAAGATCCAAGGAATCTACTTTGGACTGGATCATTCTAGACCCTCAGATCCAAGACCCTACACAGTCATCCCACTGAGAAGCTGGAAACCAAATACTGCATGGGGCTCACAGGAAAGTGGAGAGGTGATTTACATAGGCTAAGAATCAAATCTGTCTGAGAGCACGAGTGACAAGAGTTCTAGTGAAGTGTGCAACAGGGAAAAGTAAAGAAAGATTTGAGGTGATGCATCTACCACACCAATCCCTGAAGACTAAGCTGTTGCTAAATAAACACAGGTAGGGGACAAAAGAGACATAAAGAAGTCAACTGCTCGTATTTCCCATACTTCCAAAACTGAGAGCCTGACTCCCCACAATGAGCCCAAGGCCCCAATTTCCACAGAAGTTGGCCTCTCCCAAATTCAGGGGTGCGTAGAAGTCTCACCTGTTTATTTGCAAATACAAGAAGCACAGCATCCCTGAGCTCGTCCTCTGCCAGCATCCTCATCAGCTCTTCCCGGGCCTCATTTACTCGTTCCCGATCATTGCTGTCGACCACAAATATCAAGCCTAGGGAGCAGAGCGGGGGCTGCAGAGATGACAGACGGCCTCTTCCCCCACCGTCAAAAGACCATTCTCTCCTTACACAGTTCAAATAGTTTCATTTCTTTCTCCTTTTCCCCACCCCTGCAAACTATAGCAGGGCAAGGGTTGGCCCCTACAATGAAGGAAGACAGCCAAGCTCTGCTCACCCCCATCCAATCCATGCCAGTCCTGGGCAGTTCATCAGCCATACCTTGGGTGTTCTGGAAGTAGTGCCTCCAGAGGGGCCGAATCTTGTCCTGGCCACCTACATCCCACACTGTGAAGCTGATATTCTTATACTCTACTGTTTCCACGTTAAACCCTTTGGGAGAAAAAAAAAACCCAACAGGTCATGACACTAAAGGAAAGCTAAGTCGTCCTCAGGCCCCATAGTCTGAGGACCGAAGTCAAAGAGGATGAGGGGGTCTGGTCATCAAGTTCAGAGCTTCTCTGCTCCTTTCTCAGACACTGGCTCCCCTTCCTAAGGAGAAATGACAGCCTTATTCCTGTACCCTGGCCGCCAGATTCTGCCTCAAATAAGATGTGGGGCTGAGAGGCAGATGAAGAAAGAACAGTGAGCGACAGTCCTGAAGCCCCAAATGCAGAGCAAGCTGCAGATGATGACCCAGAGCCCCCATGCATACGGCAAATGCTCTGCCTCCCACAGGCAGGTCACCGTCAGGACTGGCCCAAAGATCCAAAGCAATTCTAGGCTGCCAGCAGGAACATCAAAGCCCTTCACCTGCTTTCCAAAGAACACAGAGAACAAACCAACTCTAGTGCCTGAGGGCAGGTGTACAGTGCCAGGCTGCGGAAGTTCTCCCATCAGGGAGGGCCAAGGTAGGTGGGCAAACGGCAGGCCCCCCGGGCAACTGCTACTAAGCTAAAGAGTCATCATTCTCTGAGGTCTACAAATTGCATGGACTTGTCTGGGGAGAAGTGGCCAGGCAGGGGATCTAGGAATAAACATCCTGCCATGCCTCAGCTGCCAGCACAGGAGCCCACATACAAGCTGTGCCCTTACCGATGGTGGGGATGGTGGTGACAATCTCCCCTAGTTTCAGCTTGTACAGGATAGTGGTCTTTCCAGCAGCATCCAGACCCACCATCAGGATGCGCATCTCCTTCTTCCCAATCAAGCTCTTGAGAAGGTTTCCAAAGATATTGCCCATGATCACAGCAGCTTCTCTCTAAGGATAGTGGGGCCCAAGTGGAGGCAGTGGCAGCCTGGTGCCTGGTATGGAGGATTTGATCCTAGGCAAAGCAAACACAAACTCATTACCACCATTTGCTTGTCAGGAGTTCATGTAAGTGGAACTTACTGAAGTCATAGCTGGAATTCATTCATGACAAATGAGGGCCTGAAGGAACTACAAATACCAAAGCCCACTCAGGCACATCCTGGACTTTTAGGAGCAGAGACAAAGCAGGGAATGCTCAGGACCCTTGCTGTCTGGAACCTACTATATGACTCTGGGAAAGTGACTTCAACTTTCCAGATGTGCACCTGTAAACTGAGAGGGTTCAGATGGGTGGTTTCTAAAGTCCCTTCAGTTTTGATATTCTACACCACACCCCAACGCACTGCAAGATCACTTCCGCCCCTCCCTCCCGCAACCTTACCCTGAGACTTCTGGAAAGGGTGGAAGAGGAAGGCATGGAATGAGGAGTGGCTCTCTGTGACTCCTGTCGAAGTCCAGGCTTGCCAGGTTCCCAAGATTCATGCTCTCCTTTCTAATAAAGGGGCTGCTTCCTTGCCTATAGGCTACAGTTCCATCTTCCTTCCACACCAGTGTAAATGAGAACAAAAAAAGAGTAAGAAAGTAGAACCCCTGAGAGAAGCTGATTCTCTACATTCTGTAAACTGCCTGTTGCTAAAATTGTACCACACAGTAGTACCTTAAGAGTAGGGAGGACAGGTGAGAGGCTACCCTCTCCTCAGCCAGACAGAGCCCAAGCTTGCTGTGGCCAGTCAGGGAGAGCTGGTCACCTGCAATGGGGTAGTCATCTTGTGCCCTGTTGCTTCCCTAACCCCATTTGTGTGTTCTCCACATGGCAGCCAGAGTGATTTTACATTTGATCTTAGCCAAAAGGCCGGAAAGGAAAGCAATAGCCAGAGTGATTTTTAAAGCCAAAATCAAAGCTGGGCGTGGTGGCGCACGCCTGTAATCCCAGCACTCAGGAGGCTGAGGCAGGAGGATTGCTGTGAGTTCAAGACCAGCCTGGGCTACACTGTGAGTTCCAGGTCAGTCTCAACTACATAGTGAAACCCTGTCTCAAAAAAACCAAAAGAAAAAAATAAATAAAATAAAACCTAAATCAAGTCTGTTCAAAACCCTCTTTCCAAATGTGGTAGTGCAAGCCTGTAATCCCAGCTACTCAAGAGGCTGAGGCAGGAGGATTGTAAATTCTATATCAGTCTGGGCAACTCTGCAAGATGTTGTTTTGAAAATAAAATTTTTACAAAGGAGATTTAGAGCCAGGGATTTAGCTCAGTGATTCCGCTGCCTGCCTCACAAGTACAAGAGCCTGAGTTTGATCCACGGTACCAAAAACAAAACAAAACAAAATGGAGATTTAGCTCAGTGGCACTGCCCCACCTTGCAAGTGCAAGGTCCTGAGGTCAATCCTCAGTACTGAGGGGGTGGGTGCTGAGGATGTAGCTCAGTGGTAGAGTGCTTGTCTAGCACATACAATCTCCAACACTGCAAAATGCAAAGAAACCTCTCTTGGCTTTGAAACTCCTTTTCAGTAAAACCCAAAGTCCACGCCACAATTTACAGGTCCGGTAAGATCTATGGTCCCTTACATCTTTCCTCAGATCTCTTGCCACTCTTCCCTTTGCTTGCTCCACTGAAACTTACCCACACTTTCCTGTCTGGAAGCTTTTGTACTTGCTATTCCCTCTCCATGGAACGCTCCTCTACCCAGTGACTTCCATGGACTCTGCTCTTACTTCCTTCAGGTGTTTGTTCCAATGCTACTTACCAAATAGGCCTTCCCTAAAAGCCCCTATAACACAAATACCACTTTTTAATCCATTTATCCCACTTTCATTTTCTTCACACCATCTACAACAAGCCAGGTGTCATGGCGGGCAGTTATAATTCCAGCACTCTGAAAGGCTGAGGCAGAACTGCCATGTCTGAGCCCCATCTGAACAACTCAGGGATCTCCTGTCTCAAAATAAAAGTAAACAGGGACTGGAGATGTATTTAAGTGTAAAGGGCTCAAGTTTGATGCCCAGTACAACCCCCGACAAAATAACACCACTTATCACCATCTGACAGCCAGGCGTGGTGGCGCATGCCTGTGATCCCAGCACTCAGGAGCCTAGGCAGGAGGATCATTTTGAGTTCAAGGCCAGCCTGGGCTACATACTAAATTTAAGGCCTGTCTGAACTATATAGTGAGACCCTGTCTCAAAAAAGCAAACAAGGGCTGGGGATTTAGCTCAGTGGTGCTGCTGCCTGCCTCGCAAGCACAAGGTCCTGAGTTTGCTCTCCAGTACCAAAAACAAACAAAAACTCACAATCTGACACATTACATAATGACTTCTTGTTGTATTTTTTCCTTCCTCTTACATCAGCTCCCTATATGTTCTGTTCACTGTTGTGTCCCTAGTACAGTGGGTTCCTTGGTTCATGAACTTGTCTTACATTTTGGGGGAAAATAACTGGGCTTGTGTTTGTGTGGGGAAGATGGCCATGGTTGTGTCTGTCACTCAATGCGGAATTTGTGAACAGAAGCAAAACTTTTTGAAAGCCAGGTGTGGTGGCGCACATCTATAATCCCAGCACTCAGGAGGCTGAGGCAGGAGGATTGCTGTGAGTTCAAGACCAGTCTGGGCTACATAGTGAGTTCCAGGTCAATCTCCACTACATAGTGAGACCCTGTCTCAAAAAACCAAAAAAACAAAACAAAACAAAACAAAAAAAAACCTTTTCAAATGCTTTTGAAAACCGAACTGTTTGAGAACTGAAGCGTTCATGTCCTGAGGTATTACTGTACCTAGAATAGTGCCTAGCACATAGTACATAGCTGAACTTCCAGTGAGAAGTTACCTAGAAGAGATCACTCTGCCCTCACTTGCAACTCACTCAAATTGGGTGTTTACACATGGTACATTCAGGTACTTAACAAATGCCCACTGAAAGGATGAAGGAGGAGACAGTAAGAACCATGGTGAAGGTACAAAATACTTATCTGCCAGCCACTGCTCCCAAGAGACTGAACACATTAATTTATCCCCTCTTCTTCCCTCCCTTCTCTATGGCACAGGCAGCCACAGAAATGCATCCTTAAAACCACCAAGAAATGGAGGCCCAGCCACTCATGCCAGCCAGTTCTCTGCCTGGAGGAGGCATGCGTCAGCTTATTCAGCATTCGCCATATGCCAGCTGCTGGAAGCTCCATAGTCTGGGAAGCAGAGACACACACCCCAAACCCAGAAGGCAAAGGAACAGGTCAGGACAGAGTGCACCCAAACTCAAGAATGTGAAAGGTGAATGGGGAAAAATCCTACTTATAAGCCAAAGCATGGGGGTTTGGTGGGAGTTTAGTTTTTCAAAAACTTCTTCAGGATTGTTTTTGTTTTGTTTTGTTATTTCTACTCAGTTTGCAGCAAATTCCAGACTAGTGCAAAGCAGCTAGATCAACATTCCCTGGAGAAAATACTAGTTTGTCCAAAACACAGAAAACAATGAGCGGTTTTGGAGTGTTTCATCTTCAAAGGCCTCCACAGATATCACTAATGAGTCAGGAGTGGCACTCCTGGTAGGTTCCTTGATGAGCCCTGCCCCTGACCCACAGGGCTTTCACACCCCAGGGAGAAGGCGTGGCTCCCTATACCTTTGGGGATCGAACCTCTGCCAAGCTGCCCACTAGCCCCATTCCCAGCCTTTCCAGCCTCAACCCAGTCAGGTAGATTTCTCAGGCCTGGGGGGGTGGGGGCACGACTGGACATCTGTCCAGCTAAAAGGTCAAACTGTACCAACACTGGTAACTAACAGACTTCTGGTTCCACCACCATCCCCTTCACAGAAATGCCCACTTTCTCCAGGCCCTAGTAGCTTTTGCTCTGCCTCCTGCTCAGATGACCTTTCCTTCAGCCCCAGATGATTCTCTGCTTTAAAGGTCTGATATCAGGGACAACCCTGATCCTGAACTGGATTTATACTACACATCCATCTTGCTGTCCTTTGTTACTGGAACTGCTACAATTAAATGAATAACAATGAGCCACGCATACATCTATTATCCCAGCACTCTGGGAGGATAAAGCAGATGGATCCCAACTTAAGAGCCCAGCCCATAGGTAACTTGGTGACTTAGAAAGACCCTGTCTCCAAGAAAAAGGCTGCGTGTGGTGGCACATGTCTATAATCTCAGCACTCAGGAGGACCACTGAAAGTTCAGGGTGCATTCAAGACCAGCCTGAACTGCATAGTGAGACCTTGTCTCAAAAAAATTTTTTTTCGGGGGTGGTACCAGGCATTTAACTTGGGACCTTGCGCTTACAAGGCAAGCAGTGGCACCAATGAGCTAATCCCCGGCCCCCAAAAAAATTTTTTTAAGGGCTGGGGATATATATAGCTCAGTAAAAAGGGGACAGTGGGGGGGTGACTAATGGAAATATAGCAATAGGTGAAAGAAGTATGAATAACCAACACCCCTTGTCCAGAACATGTTAACACTTTCCTTTCATTTGCTTCTCTAATCCATCCTGCTAAATTCTTACTTTAAAAGATGACCCTAAACTGGGCATGGTGGTACATGCCTGCAATCCTAGCACTTGAGAAACTGAGGCAGAAAGATTACCACGAGATCAAGTTCAAGCCCAGCCTGGGATAAATAGTGAGTTCAAGGCCAGCCTCAACTAAATAGCAAGGGTCTGTCTCAAAACAAAATAAAACAAAGCAAAAAAGAAACAAAAATCGACCCTAGTGCTACACCTATTTCTATTTTCTGGCCATTTTCCACACATATTTGACCCCAGGACTATTTCAGGAATACCAAAAAGGGCCTAGATTAGAATTGGTGGATTTTTCTCATGCAATTTCATAATACAATGAAGCTGATAAATATGTGATTAAACATCCAGTAGCAACTTTGTTTCCCCCTGGGCCTAGGGCCTTGAAATTACTGGACATGATGACTCTTCATTATAATCCAGGGCTTGATTTATACGAGCATTCCAAAAGAGACACTGCTTTTTCTCCTTGGCTTTCCGTCCTTGTCTATTACCAGAGAGC